TGAGAAAACATACGATGACAAAAGTGAAAACCAGCGAAGAAATGGCTAGAGTTGCCAAGTTCCCCTTTAAAGGAAACTGATGATGATAATGGTAACCAATCAGATATTTGGGAAAAACCTGTGTGATTACTTGTTTAATTAATTAATAATTATGTAATTGGAGCTTAACCTTAGGATACCGTATCTGCGGTAACATTCGTTCTAACTCAAGTTTCACTGGCTTAGCTTTTCACAGAGCTTTCAACTGTACCCTTCATGTGATTTCAGCTCAGTACTTATGTCTTGTGATGACACCTGAAAAAATTCCCTTTGCTGAAGGAGGTTATGGTTGGAAACTCAGTGAAAAGCTAAAGTAAACTTTAGTTCAGAATAATTTAACACATAAACTGTAATATTTGCACGTATTTTCACAGAAAACTGAACAAGTGTTTCAAAATGACAATAAGGAACTTGTTTGTTTACTTCACAGCAGATTTTAAGGATTTATTACTATGGTTTTATTTCTAATTCAATACTAAAAGTGGCGGAATCTCCCAATAACATTATTGAATTTTCATAATTGATACTGATCCCTAGCAGTTTGCAAGTAAAACTACCAAAAACTGTGCTTTTATTACCGTGCAAAGTAACCTCACCCTGAGATCTAGGTCGGGAATGAGCTGAAATGATCACCAATAGCGCTGATGAACAAAAACAGTGCCTAGAGGCAAAAACTGAAAAATGCCCATATACGAGTGAGCCAAGAATGATCTGCCAGCAGAAGAAATGTATTTTTGACTGACAGATAAGCAGCCAGGTCAGATTTCTAACCATGTACCCACTGCACTCCACACAGACATGCGCATACAGTACAGCACAGTCCAGTAAAGAACATAAAAAAGTACCATCCTCTGTTTTTTATTCTTTTCCTTGATACTGAAAATGACCTGATAAAAATGTGGTTACAGTCAACCAGCTGCTCTTCCACAGTGTCAGTGGTAATGAAGAGAGAGATAAAGAGCGGAGACTGTACCAAAATGTTGGAACACAGCCACTGTTGGCTTTGCTCTCGTTTCCCTTTTCCTCACATCCCTCCACTTATCACCTTGTTTCACTTCCCATGTGCCTTTCCCTTTTCCCTGCTCAAGCTGTGTCATCAAACCCTGTTTAGCTTTATTTTTCTCCATTATAACTATTATTATTTCACTCATTACTGATATTTTATTTTTGTTTTTTTTTAAGTTATACTTGTTTGTCTTTTTTATATAATTGAATGTTTATTGTATTATACGTAGCTTTAGTGTGTGTCTGTTTTATATCAATGTTAGTTCATTGGTGTACTGGGCTTGTGGGTGGTTTTGTAGATGCGAGAAGCCTTTGTAGATCAAACTCGAAGACTGCTCTGAATAAGTGGTGTGCATGTATGTATGTGACTTTTACGACTCGGTCTGGTCTACGTGTTGGAGCCAAGGGGGTTTATCAAAGAGTTGTAGTGTAAACATTGCACTACTGCTAACTTCTGTCAACAGAACTTGTCACACTGATGCTGGCACCTCTCACCTGTGCACTTACATGTAGAGATGTAACTCGGGGTAACCGTAGATACCTCCAGGTGTGTATGTGTGTATGCGTGTTAACTGGTCTGCTAAAGATGTAGGTAGGTGTAGCAGTGCTATACTTCACACAGGTGGGGTTAAGAGTTCTGAATGACAAGGATTTCCGATGATATGGCTCATGGTCAGTAAAAGTCTCCTTTTACTTCAGTAGGTGTTGATAGACTAGAGATATTGCTGTGAATATAACATTAATATGTTTTCTCTGTTTAACATGTATTTAAATGTATCTCTTTCTTGGTTGCATATTGTGTTTTTTTTTTCTGTAAATTGAGAGCCCCAATTGTGCACTTGACAGAATCCTGTTAAATGTAGAATTATATGACAATGATTTCCTTTTTTTTTTACTGTATCAGTAAATGTTCTTTGCTTTCATGTGACGTAGGGAAGAGACAGTAAAAGGGCCTGTCAGCTCCTCCTGTTGGCCGCTACCTGCTATGGCTCTGATATTCTAAGAAAAACAACCAAAGTTGCCACAAGGGAACAATGTCAAGAATGTGTAAGAGAGTTTCAAGTTTTCATTTTAGAGTGAAACGTTGGGGACTCGTGAGCTACGATGCTATGTGTGTGATTTTCTAATACACAACATAGGACCATTAGGGTTGTGCTTCCGTGTGTCAGTCACATTGACAAAAACAGGTAGGGGGAATTTGGTCTCAAACCATCTTCCAGGAAGTTTTCTTAGAAAGTATGAGGTCAGTGTCAGGTCTTCAGCTGTAGTAGAAAAAAAACATCCTCAGGGCCACCCATGCTCCGTTGCAGTAACATACTTAGGGTAACTCTGGAGGCCAACAAGAGGAGGCTGAGGGGCAAGAAAGTGGTAAAGCAAAAAGAGTAGGAGTTAGATAAATAGTGAGAGAGAGAGAATTTGAGTGTGTGTGCGTCTGTGATTTCACTGAGTGTTTACTTAAAATTGTCTTCTGTTGATTTATTGATTTTCATTATTAGCTACATAGAGGCTTTCATACAACGTTTACTTTGATAAGATTGTTTTTGTTTGGTGATTTTCTTTTTTTTTTTTTGCCTGTTGTGGTGAGTTGTGGGACAGTTTTTTGCCAAGATATTTTGACTCCCAAAATTAAAAGTTGTGCCTTTTATTAAACTCTTAAACTTAAAGAGCTGAGTGTTAAAAGCTGATTGAGTTTAATGTGCATGCAGATGTAAGCCAAAGTGGATTTGATTCAATCCCAAAGCTAACTTTGTTGAAAAATGTCAATGGGTAAATTGTGCTTGCATGCAAGATGAGGGGGGCGGGGGAGGGGCATTAACCTGTTGCCAAATGCTGCCCTATGTGCCTTTAATAAAAAGAGTGGGGAACAATTGGGGAATTAAATCGTATGATTTTGATATTAAGTTTTATTATTGTATGTATGATGTGATATTTGAACACCACTTTCTCCTCAGATGCTCTTTGTCTAACTGCGAGAAAGCTTTGGATTTTTGTAAACTGCAGTATGTTGAAATGTAATGGTTGACTTGTGTAAGAAAAACATCAATAAAGTTTTTCTTTCTTTACACATAAATGTGTGTCCTGTGTTGTTAGTGTAAATTGTTTAAGAAGGTAATAATATTAAA